ATATAGCATTTTTATAAAGTTAAAGGTAACATAGTTACTTGATCATGCTATGATATGGCCAAAGTCACATGTACGTGCAGGAAGTAGGGGATTTATCTAAATGTTAAAGGTGGGGACAGAAAATTTGGCACCAAAGTAAAACAATTTGTGTTTGCTTGATTATTTATTTTTTTGTTGTAGCCATGTAGCCATGCATCTTGGTAATAATTCTTATGCCGCTAAAATTCCCATTTACTTCTTCAGTGATGCCACACTTGCAAGGAAAATGTGAGTAACGAGTAATGTCTGTTTAGATGAAATTAAGGTTTTTGGCCACCATGCAAAACGCTGTATGGTCTAAAACTGACCACACACGATGCTGAACGCTAGGGTGAAACATGGTGGTGGCATGATTATGCTGCATGGATGTGTTCCTCCATGGCAATTCTGGAAGAGGTTGCAAAAGGTTTAAGACTGAGGTGAAGGTTCTCCTTCTGGTACGAGGACAACCCTAAACATACAGCCAGACCTAAATCCAATTTGGGATCTATTGGAAAGTCTTCACTTCACTACCAAGCACTATTTTCTCATCAATTCAGTAAAACTTTAGACATATTATTTTCTGTTTCCAAGTAGAAGTCAACGGTCAGACATGTTGAATGTAAAGCTTTTATGAAATAGCTGGCCCAGTCCAGGGTCTGCACAGCCTCTGGTGCCTTCCTACCTTCCTGCTGGGTCACTGACTCAGCTCTAGGCGCTTCACTACAACCCAAATGTCCTGCGGTGCCCTTGTTTTTGTCAGCACTCTCTACTGGATCCAGCGGCTTTGGGCCTCTTTGTTCAGGGAAACAGGAGTCACTGCTTCAGAACAATGTGATCCGCCTGGATCAATTTTTGAATCGCTGATTGAAAAATCCACTTTGCACAAAGCAAAAAACCATGTGCTTGGCTTTATTGTTCTTGCTCTGTATAAAGAGCATACCGGAGGTGGCAGGTGTAATGTTTTATTTAGCACACCAAACTTATTGATATCAACTATGGAAAAGGTAATGTGATTATTTAACATATACACATGTTAGAGTCACCGACTTAACCTGGTGTTTGTGTTTCAGATCATCTTCTACGAGGATAGAAACTTTCAGGGCCGATATCATGAAAGCAGCAACGACTTCAGCGATCTGCACACGTACGTCAGCCGCTGCAACTCCATCAAAGTCCTGGGCGGGTTCTGGGTGGTCTACGAGAAACCAAACTACATGGGCCACCAGTACGTGCTGAGTCCAGGAGAGTATCCAGACTACCAGTACTGGCTGGGTATCAACGACGCAGTCAGGTCTTGCCGTGTCGTTAGACATGTAAGTGGTTTTTCGATCACAAACAACACAAACGAACCACTTCTTGGGCATTTTTTCAGAGTGGATTTTCGTTTTTGACTCTGCCAAGGTGGGGAACATGTGGCAGATGAAGATTTGGGAGAAGCCGAACTTTGAGGGCGAGTCTGTGGAGCTTTCGGACAATATGCCCACCTTCCATGAGCGCTGGCAGAGCCACGACGTCCAGTCCTGCAAAGTGTTCGAGGGGGCCTGGATCTTCTACGAACACCCCAACTATAGGGGGCGCCAGTACCTGCTGGAGAAGGGCGAGTACAGGCGGTACTCGGAGTGGGGAGGCAGGCAGCCCAGTGTGGGCTCTGTGCGCCGGGTGAAGAACTAAGCTCTAAACTGCTCTGTATGCATCTGGGGAATAAAATCAGAATGAAAATGTGATGTTTTTTATTATCAGTTGTTTCAAATTGATGTAGTTCATAACATATATCAGCCAACAAGAACAGAACAAATTTATAAACTTCTAGTTTAGCAATAAAGGTAGCTATATATTTTTGAGAGTCTGAGTCTTTGCCATCGCTGAAGGGGAATTTTGTCCCACTTTTTCTTGCACAATTATTTTAATTTAACCATAATAGAGAATTTTTGAGTGTTAGCTACTACATCTCAATCATATTTTGGTCCAGACTTTGACTAGACCAATCCAAATTATTCACTTTTTAAATTTTATTTTATGTATTCATTTATTTTTAACCATTCAGAAGTGGATTTATGCATAATTGATGGTCCTATCAGCTACAAGTATTTGTTCTTAAGAAGTGAAAGCACCCCAGACCATCACACTACCACCACCATGTTTGACACAAGGTGCTATGTTGTTGTTTTGAAATGTAGTGGTTTTCACTTCAGATGTAGACATAATGCAGCTTTTAAAAACAGAATATTAGAGGCTGTTTTTGCCCTGTGCCTTTCTTAAAGTTAAATTATGAACTCTGACCTCAACTGAGACAAATGAAGCCCACAGTTCTTTACAGATGTCTCTGTGTTCTTCTGAGATGTATCTTTGGATTAAGTTCAGCTCCATGATTTGTGGGAGTTTTATTTTACCTTGTTTTGCTGGAGTCCAAAAGCCTCCGGAATGGTTTTGTATTGATTTCCACATTGATAGAAGTTTGTGATTTGGATGGATGTTCGGAGTTCACATGCGAAATATCAGCATCAACTCATCAAAAGCATGTCAGGAAACAACCGCCGAATCAGCTGCTGCATTAATCGAGAGCTCATTTGAATGACAGCAATTGTGCTGGTTTTGCATTTCATGAGCCTTTATATAAAGGTGGTGGATCGGTGATGCAGTGTGAATTAGGTGGGGGGACTTTCATTTGATCTGCCTTGGAGGACCAAAACGTTGCCTAATCATGGAGCGCACAGGGAAGGTGAGTACAGGATCTTTTCTGCTATATTAAAGAGCTTTTTTTTTTTTTTTTTTACTAAATATTCTCCACCATGGTGATCAGTTTACCTGGCTAATTGCTTTAAACCACCATGTTCCTGCTGATTCTGGGGTCAGTGACTCTGTTTTAAGTGGGAGAAAGTTCAGAAAAACAGTTGAGTTGAATGAAGAAAACAATATTTTTGTCCTAAATTATGATTGTTTCTTTTTTTCTTTTCGAAAAAGTCAATATGCATCATGTTTCTTCGGAATAGTTTCAGAATAATCTCAAATATAGCAATAAATTATCTCAGTTTATTCATAAGGAATGAGCTGTTTCATAATTTTGTAATTAATAATGGAAAATAAATTGAAAAACAATTACATCTAATTTTTGTTAGATCATGTTAATTATGAGTTAAAATTTTATTTTAACTATGTATAATGTAGATATATAAACTACATTATATATCTACAATATCTATATAGTTTATATAATTATAAACTATATATTTTAGTTTATAATTATTTTATAAACTAAAATAATTATATATATATATATATATACATAGTTAAAATAAAATTTTAACTCATAATTAACTTAGTATTTTCAAATTAGTTGATTATTTAATGTTTCAATTGTTTCATTAAAGTAGTCAGAATTAATGTAAAGTTATATTTCATGTGTCTGAGAAATTAATTAGGCCCGAGCAGCTAAGCGCTGCGAAGGCCTAT